GGAGAAGTACAGGTAAATATCCCCGATGAACATAGATGCTAAATTCCTCAACAAAATTGTTGCAAATTAGATCCAGCAATACATTAAAAAGATCATACATTATGATCAAGTGGGATTTATTCCAGGGATGCAATATTTGCAAATCAATAAATGTGATACAGCACATAAACATATTGCAAGACAAAATCATATGATCATATCAATCAATGTAGAAAAAAGCATTTGACAAAATCCATCACTCTCTTGAGATAAAAATTCTCAGCAAAGTGATAATAGAGGGATCAAACCTCAACATAATAAAGGCCATATATGACAAATCTATAACCAACACCACACTCAATGGACAAAAACTAAAATCATTTCCACTAAGAACAGGAACAAGTCAGAGATGCCCTCTTTCACCATTCTTGTTCAACATAGTTCTAGAAGTCCTGGCCATAGTGATCAGACAAGAAAAAATAGAAGGCATCCAAATTGGGAAGGAAGAAGTAAACTCATTATTCGCAGATGACATAGAAAACCCTAAAGATTCTATCAAAAAACTAATAGTCTTAATAAATGATTTTAGAAATGTAGCAAGATACAAAATTAACACCCCAAAATCCATAGCCTTTTTATACACCAATAGTGCACTCTCAGAAAGAGAAACTTAAAAAAAATTCCATTTACCAATGCAACAAAAAAATTTAAGTTACCTAGGAATAAACTTAACCAAGGAGGTAAAAGACCTGTTCTCTGAAAACTACATGATGTTGAAAAAAGAGATAGAGAAAGATATAAACAAGTGGAAGAATGTGCCATGTTCACGCATTGGTAGAATCAACATCATTAAAATGTTCATATTCACAAAGCAATCTACAGATTCAATGCAATTGCTATTAAAATACCCATGGCATATTTCACAGACCTAGAACAAAAACTCCAAAAATGTTTATGGAATCAAAGAAGACCCCCAATAGCTGCAGCAATCTTGAAAAAGAAAAACAAAGTTGGAGGAATCACAATACCAGATACCAAGTTATACTAAAAAGCCACTGTGCTCAAAACAACCCAGTACTGGTCCAAGAACAGGCATATAGATCAATGGAACAGAACAGAGAGCCCCGAAATCAACCAAAGCCACTATGCTCAATTAATATTTGACAAAGGAGGCAAGAGCATACAATGGAGCAGAGACAGTCTCTTCAATAAATGGTGTTGGGAAAATTGGACAGGTACATGCAAAAAAAACCCACCAACTTACACCATTCATAAGAATACAGTCAAAATGGGTAAAAGACTTAACATAAGATGTGAAACCATAAAAGTCCTAGAAGAAAAATCTCAGACATGTCTCATATCAACATGTTTGCTGATACTTCTCCTAGGGCAGTGGTTGGCAAACCGCGGCTCATGAGCCACATGCGGCTCTTGGCCCCTTGAGTGTGGCTCTTCCACAAAATACCATGTGCGGGTGCGCACGTACAGTGCAATTGAAACTTCATGGCCCATGCGCAGAAGTCGGTTTTCGGCCTGAGCAAGTCTATTTTGAAGAAGTGGGAGGTGTTGGTCGGTCGGGCCATGGGAGATGCGGCTCAGGCGGGCCACGGGATACGCAGCATGGGGGAGGTGCGCGTGATTCATACACGAGTTGAGTGAGCCAGTCAGTCAGCGGTCTCATTGTGCAGTGGTTAGTGCTAGTCGCGTCAGCAAGTCGCGCGCGGGTGACAAAAGTACCTACTCAAAATATAAAGTTACCTGTATTTTTCCAACCAGCTGCAAATCCTACAGGTATTTTTGTCGTCAATTTAAGAATTGTAATTCTTTTGTGTTGGTGGCTTTATTATTATAAAATGAAACATTTTTTTAGGTGCCCTGTTTGACATGGCTACAAAGAAGAAGCAAAGAAAAACGAAAGATGGAAACCATAAATTTAAAGTTGAATTTAAAGTTGAATGTACCTACCTATATAGTTTAAGTTTAAAAAATTTGGCTCTCAAAAGAAATTTCAATCGTTGTACTGTTGATATTTGGCTCTGTTGACTAATGAGTTTGCCGACCACTG